TCTGAGGCCCAGGGCAGTTAGGTTTCATTAGTCCAGGTACACAGGGGTTTCCAAAGGAATCTCTCACAAGTTATCATTCAGTCTCTTCTAGAAAATTTAGACTGAAGTTTTGTTATCTGAAATTAAATATCTATATTAAAAAAACCAGTCCCATCGACTACCTGTTAAACGCTACATATTCTTTAAGTTAATTAATAACTTAGGTTATTAAGTGAATTAATACCTTTAGCATTTGGTACTATTAAAACATGAGCAGCTTTGCCTTGTTTGAAGCATCTTAGGATGTAAGAGTTAGACCTTCGACATCACCTGGTCTAATCCTTGCACTTTACAGATGAGAATCTGTGGGCCTTCAAGGTTAAGTGAATAATTTGAGGGTACATAACCACAAATTAAATTTCTACTGGACTTGCTATATAAATGCTCTGAGGAAGAATGGCTTATGAAGAACTATTCCAAAACCGCAATTACTTTAGTCTCCAGCCACATGTAATGGGTTTATGTCTAAATACCCTATGTAAGGGTAAATTCATTTTGTTTCCTAGGATTACATTATGAAACAAATTTATCTAGAGGCATTCATCAGGAAGTTACATGAAGTAAATGTAGTCATTTTATAAGTTCATGATTGAAATTATTTTATAACCATAATATGTGATTGGTAACATATGCTCTGAAAAATTTCAAGTCACAATGGTCATGTGGTATTCTTGGTAGATTAACACTGAAGCTTCAGTGTCACATTTTTCCACATGTATGAGCATAATCTGGTCTGTTTTTTGAGAAAACTCTTGACCCTTTCTCCAGGTGTTCCTTTTTGTAAAGATAGGATGACAGTACAGATCTAAGTTGGTTAATTTTTGGCAAAAACTATTTCATTTTCTACATAATTAGTTAAAGAATAGGGATTTGTACTTCATAAATTCTCAACAGAGAACCTCAAACCTTCGGCTGCCAAACTGTTATGAAAAGGTTGGTAGTGGCAAATATATACAGAATTTGCTTGGAAGGTGTGTGTAGTTCACTCATTTAGAAATTCTGATAGCAACAATAATAATAGAAATTGTTAGGTGTTTAGGATGTGCTGATTACTGAGTCAAACTCTTTCATGCATTGTTTCATTTAAACCAGTGGTTCCCCAAGTTTAGCATATGTCAAATTACCTGAGGGCATGTCAAAACAAATTGTTTCTGCTTTACTCGGGGTCTGAGAGTTTGCATTTCTAATAAATTCTTAGGTGATGCTGATGCTGCTGATTGGGAGGATCACGTTTTAAGAACTATTGCTTGCTGCACACCTAGGAGGTAGGTATTTCAATCTGTATTTTACAGGCGAAGAAACAGGAACTGAGGTTATGTAAACTGCTCAACCCGCGGCTAATAATCGGTAGAGTTGGGATTTTAAAATTTGCTTCTTTGATTTCAAAATGTTTCTGTGCCAGGTGATTTTGCAATTAGATTCTGTCTGGGCAGAAGAGTAATAGCAACATTTCATAGCCTAGCAATAGGATAGGATTCTTATTGCTCTCAGTACTCAGGTTCAACTATGACAAAAATCATTGATGTTGTGAAATGGTTGTAATCAAAGCCAGACTGTTGGATAAATTAATATGGCCCCTAAGAGGGAACTTATCGTGAAGGTAGAAATAGACTAGATTGGTGCCCGCACCAGTGGCTATGGGATGAAGGGGGCGTCTTGGTTCCAGGTCCAAAAAGTGTCTAGGAGTGGAATTTGTCTTCCACAGCTATCCTTGTTGGGAGTTGTTCCTGAAAGAATCATCTGTGTGTGCATAAAATGGAAGGGTTCTTGCACGTAGGTGTTTCCTTTGAAAGGCCCTCAACTGAACGTCATAGGGAGGGAAGAAATGACTTCTCATCAGGCCGCAGAACTCTGACTTTCATCCCTGTTTGAGGGAGCAGTGAGCCAGGTGCTGGGGGCTGTAGAGGGCATTGAAGAAGGGGGTGAGTTATGGGTTAGCATGAAGCACAGATGTCTGGGGACGATCCCTGTCACCACGAGATCACTGAGGTGATGGTCCCCACCAATTGTGTAGGAGAGGAAAAGAGCTCTATCATGTACCGAATGTAAGACCTTGAGCTATCATGAGCAATTTTGGTGCCTAAAATTAAACTAATTAAAATAGCATTCTCTACCCACTTCTGTAGAATGCTGCATCAGAGATCAGTGATGACCTTCTGATTTTAGCCAACTTAGAGCCTGCTAAACCTAGCTATGCTGACAGTGGCCACAGAAATTTTGCGAGGCAACTGGCATAGGAGTGTGAGATGTTCTGGAATGAGGCAGGTTGGTGGCCCCCGAGTCCCCTGTCCATCAGCAGGTAGAAAGGATTGGTTTGTGGAGTATCCCTGGAGATTGTTAGAAATCTGTATGGAAGGGAATTCCCTCCACTTCCTCATGACCTGACAGGTGAAGTCTCAGCGTCACTGTATTTCAGGGTTTGTGCTCATTTGCATTCCCAGGCTGACGAAAACTGCAATCCAGCAGTCATGTAACATTTAATCTTGGATTAGGGCAAGAGCTCTGGCCTCTTATCTGTGCTTTGGTGCTTAATGTCATCAGAGTCCCCTCTAGTGCGTGGCCTTTACTTGAACAACCAGCATGGTTTCTTTAGTGAACAGTGAATTTGAAGTTTGATTATGCTTTGCTTCCGTCTTTGCTTTGGCTGCTAGAAACCAAGGTTAGTCACTCACATAACAATTGAGCAAGATCTATTATGCATTTTTTGACTGTTTTATCATTTTTCCTCTACTCTGTTATGAGGTATACATTTTCCTGTCTTTTTTGAAAGGGAGAGGGAGTATGTATAGGAATGTGAAAAAGGAAGCCTAGAAAAGAGGTAGAGGGGAGAAAGGAAGGAAAGTTAACACATTTTACAGAGGACATTTACATGGAAAAGCTTAATGTAAACAGCCCAATGCTGATTTAATAGAGGTGACTGAAACTAAATTAACTTGAAATATAGATAGAACCAGTAAAAAGTCTATTCCCTAATAAATTACTGTTCTGCGAAATACAAGAGAGTGTTGAGCACTGTGTAACATTAACCAATCAAGGGGAAGTAATAATAATGACAGATTCTGGGACTTACTCTCAAGAGAAACATGTGTTTCTGTATTGATGTCCAAAAGGGGCAATGCTGCTTTGGGCCAATGCCAAGTCTGAATCATTAATAGATCATTGGTAGAAATTGGAACGCAGCAAGCAGCTATGGGGATTGCTGAAACTCCTCTTTAAGAGTTAGGGGACACCAAGTTCCTGTCCTTAAGCTCTGCTAGGTTAGCAATTGTGGTTCAAGGCTATAAATGCCATAGCTGAGTTACATGTATGTATATAGATCAGTAATAAATTCTGTCTGACGAAGTACATAGTATCTTCATAGAGCTCACTCTTAACAAATGAAGGTCTTGGGGTGGAGCTGAAGATAGGAAACTATACACAAAAGGCAAGCAGGCATCGAAGTAGTGGATGTTGGGGACTACCTACTATATATATATCTTACACTTCACCAGAATATGGGACTAGGCAGAAACACACACCCTAAACCATAGTGCGTATCTTCCAGAAAAGGTACTTATAATAGTAGCCCAACTTCTTTCCCCTCATAATCAGTAGTTTAATGTTTTATTCTCATAAACCTGAAGCCTTCCTGTATAGTCTTCCTTATTTTCACCCCTTTTTTAATTACTCACTCTTTACTGGCCAAGTAGTTCCAAGTAATAATCAACAAACCTGATGATATAAACTTATCAGCACTCATCCAAATGTGAAAATGGGTTGGTATCTGGGGCTCTGTCTGCTATGATGACTTAGACATTAGCCCCAAACGTCTATCTTTTGGAAGTATTGCTGAGCGAATTTTAGAATTCAGACACTTTTCTAAATAAATTGCTTTCATATGGACTAGTCAGTTCTGTTCTCTAGTTCTGGAGATACTATTGGAACTTAGCTAATTATCTTTACCTTTATTGGGCTGAACGCTGTGTGTCAGGTGATCACAGCTGACACAACCTGCTTACCCTTTCAGAGTAACAATGATCACTTTGATAGACTGCCATTAGATGCCTGCAGGGAGTTTTATCTTGTTTGGTTACTTGAATACTGGAGTGTGGAAAGTTGAGACAAAATCTTTAAGAACTAGATTTTGTAGGTACTGCAGGAGGTCCAAGGCGATGCCCATTTATTGACAGCTGTGCAGGCAGAGTCCATATGACAATAGCAGTGGTATTTATTCCACAGAGGTCAACAGCAACTGCTCTAACACACTCAGCCGGAAATCCTAGTAAGTTATTATCTGCTAGGTGCCGGGCACTTTGTCCATAATACGACTAATCCTTTCAACCCTACACCATAGGCTTATGATATTATCTCTAGAGAGAAGCCAACAGGTTCAAAGAGGTTGACACAAAGCCAGGCAACCAAGTGGGAGAGCCAGTTTCCTCCTGCCTGCCCTCCAGTTTCTACGTCCCCTATTATGGACATGCTCCCTAAAACCGGTAGTGAGCCTGCACCAAACCCACAAGGTTCCAGTCTATTAAAGATTGTGCTCCTACCATTTTAGCAAAAGACTGAATAAAAGCAAGAGGCAAGCTAGTCGTACATTCCCAAAGTATGACAAACACGTAATAGAAGGTAGAACAGTAAAAGATGCAGTGTCAGAATAATTTAAGGCTGATCCTACTGATCTTAGTTTTAATTTTGCAGGGTCCTTTTATCTTCCTCTTACCTTTCATTTTTAAACTGAAGGTTCTAAAAACATTCAGTTGGAAGCCCTCCAAAAAGAAACAATTTCCAAAGTGTAACAAAGTCCAAAGTGTAAATTGGTAAGTTTTCTAGGGGTCAAAGTGGCAGTAACAAAAGCTTTTTAAAACTGGCATACTCTCCACTAGCATTCTACTTCCAAGTATTTATTCTTAAGGAAATATTAAGAACACATAAAAGATTAGTAACACAATGTTCTTTAAAGCAGTTTATTAGTGGAAAATTACAAACAACCTAAAAATCAACAGTAGTTTAATAAAATGTGGCACATATGATGGAATACCATGCAGCCACTAAAAAGATGTAGGAACACATTTGGCATGAAAGAATAGTCATGGTATTATCAAGTGAAAAAGTTACAAAACAGTATGCACAAATTGATCCCATTTTAAAAAATCTATAAAAGCGAGTCTAGGAGGCTATAGACCTAAATAACAGTTCTCCCTGGATGGTGGTATTATAGGTAATTTTTATCTTTTAAACTATATTTTCATTTTTTTCCTTTTTACCAACACATCTGACTTGCATTATTAACACAGCATTAACAATTCTTAAAAAGTCTCCTTTGAGGTGGAAACGAGAGCAGAGCTTAGCAACCTGAGTCATAGAGATGTTCATATTAGTCTTGTGTTACTTTAGTGATTTGTCAGGGTGCTTGGATGTTAAATTGTCACTGTCCTGACTAGAATCAGGGGTGGTAGTAGTGCTTATCCTTCTTCCTTCTTCAGACTAAGAAATCCATTCCTAGTGACTCCCCACAGCAACCAAGTAGTAGCATTCCAAACACTATTTCCCTTACTTAGCTAAACATACCTCTACCTTCACATCTACTTATAATATTGCCTAGCAAGTTTCCTTTAAACTTAAGACAGCACTGTTTTTGGTGTAGGTGCAGAAGACACGGATTTCTCGTGATGTCAGATAACAGGCCTGAAGGTGAGAGGCAAGTTTTCTTTGTTCTCTACCTTTATGGTGGAACCACCACCCATATGCCTTGTAAAAACAATTTGCTAGGTCCTACCCCCAGGTTTGATTCAGATCTTGGATAAAGCTTAGCAATTCCATTTTTTTTCTTTTGTTTGACAAATATTTATTGAGTATATACTATGTGCTAGGTCTTGTGCTAAAACTGTGACCAAAAGAATTATGGCCTCTATCTCAGGGAGTCTACATTCTGAAGTGATTGATATATACTAAAGAAATAAATTATAAACTAACTATATAATTAAAATTTTGATTAGTGCTAGAACACAGTCAAGACAGCTTTTGTCTTAGAATCTTAAAAATGTGCCCTGGCCAGTATGGCTAAGTTGGTCAGACGGTCACCCCATGTACCAAAAGGTTGTGGGTTTGATCCCCAGTGGGGGAGCTTGTGAGAGGCAACACATCGATGTTCTCTCTCCCCCTCCCTTTCTCTAAAAAAAAAAAAGAAAAGGAAAAAGTGTCCTTAGGTGATTAAAAAAAGTGTTGCGTGAAGAACTAAGACTAGTTCTACAGCCTCTTGAAGACAAAAATATCAGCACAAATAAAGGTAGAAAAAGTACTTGGAACCATGAATTAGCACTGTTAACAAGTTCCTAGGTGATGCTGACATTGCCTGCCTTGGGGTCTCACACTGAGAACCACTGCCCTACTGAGTGGCCTTTAATTAGGGCAATGTGGGAGAAAGGGCAGCTGTGCTCTTGAAAGTCCCTCCTCCCCTTTTGAGTCTCATGAGGTTAAGAGCTACTTATTCATCTGGAGAAGGGATTGAGACAAAGCCAGCTGTAGGTCAAATTGCAAAGCCACCCATCTATGATGGCTCCTCACCCTGGTAACATGTTTAAAAATTTCAGGCATTTGGGAGGCACAGTAGAGATTTTTGAGGAACCCTGTCAACAAAGCATGGAGTTAAGCTGAGCCTAAGTAAACAAAGCTGTTGCTTCTTGTCCTGCACTCCGTCTCCTTCCCTAGTTTATCTCAGGAATGTCCTCCCAGCACCAGCTCTTGCATTCATGTTCTGTTCGTTTGTTCTGGTGAAGGGTAATAGCAACTATGAGAGTGGATTCTAACCCACTGGATTCAGGTTTCTTATTTCTCGTGTTATCCAGAGTGAGGCACATTCCCATTTTTGGGACCTAATCTCCTAAAATATGAATTATTTTAATTAGCACCATAAAAAAACTATTTAACACCATGGCCTTTTAGGTTAGATTACTTAGAGAACAAAAGTAGAGACAATTCAATCACTTATTTTTGTTTGTAAAAGAGCCTACAATTATTTCCAAGTTTATTTTATTCACATGTATATTTTTCAAATGCATATACTATACCCAAGCTCAGAGGCACAGAGTTTATTTAAATAATTCTAAATTGCACCATGAATTAATAGTCTTTCCAAGCTTTTCTTCCATGCCTAAGAACATTTTTAGGTCTTTACCTGAGTAAAAATTAAACCTATGACTTTATAAAATAAGCCCAAACCAAAATAAAACCAACCAAGCCCCCCTTTCTCCTCCCCCCCGAAACAATGAATCACACACAACCCCATTAAAATATAAACCAATAAACAGAAGAGCAAGTCCACGTGTTGTGGTAGATTTGTGATAGACAAAGGCACAAGAAGCCTTTGAACCTTAATATTATTGAAGGCTAATGTACGTTACTGGGTTCCTATAGTCAATATTCATTTACTGGGAAGCAAAAGGTTCTGATAAAAACTCCCACTGACTGTGGTGAGGTTAAACTGGATCTGAGTCTGATTTAAAGATGGCGGAGGACGGGGTAGAAGAGATCAGATCACGTGTGTGAAAGAGGAGTCTCGGGCGCCGTCATAAAGGAGGCCTAACCTTGTTGGCCAGGAAGCTGTGAGGGTGAATAAAGGGAGACTGGTACTTAGGGAGTGTGTCTACTATGTGCCAAAGCTCTCCCTAAAAATTGCCTAGCATGTAAGATAATAATATTAAGGTGGCATAATTATCCACATTTAACTAATAAGGAAATTGCAGTTTACACATGATTTGAACCAAAGGTCAATGAGCACGGTATGAAGACTGGATCTGAATCCAGGCCCATTCGATTCCAGGGTCCATACTTTCCCCTTTACTACTCTACCTCCTATAAAACTAATTTATAGTTGCTTTTTAAGTTGGTATAATGATATATGTATGTATATCTGGGCTTACATAGCATAATAGACAGCTAGGCTGTCTGTAGAATTTCCCTTCTATGGAAAAAAAGCCTTGCTCACTTGGTTAATAGCTAATTAGCCAGCTTCAGCAGACTTTGGGGTTAAGAGTACGGCAATTCCCGGTGCTAATCAGAGTCTCTTAGACAACTATAATATCACAGAGGAATTTGTCTCATAGCACCAAAGTAAACGGGTAAAAACTACTGTTAAAATTTGGACTGTGACCTAAACTATCAATATGTTTACCAAGCTCTTGTTAGGAACTGTTAAACACCATATTCAAATATTCTTTTGTTAAGTATTTATCATTTTGCTACATTAACATTCCCTCAAGACATGAGCTACATCTTTGTACTTCATGTGTAGTAAGTCTGACTGAACAAAATATTTTTAGTTGCCAGAATGTGATACTCTTTTGGCTCTAGGCCTGGCACATCTTTTTTCCCTCTAAAACATTTCTTCTCCAAACTAGCTCCCACTCATCAAATCTGAATTAGGTGACTCCCAAAGCTCCCAAACACAGCCCCCTATATTTCCTCTATCCTGTCATTAACACTAGTTCTACAGCTTGTTCAGGGTAGTGTCCCCTGTTGATCAACATGGTACCTGGACCTCAAGAAGTATTTATGAATGAATAAGAATGATAGCAGAAGTCCTAACATGGAAACAATCTGTTCATTTATAGCAATGGTCCAAACAACAGTTTTCTGACTCAGAGTGTGTCGCTAGACATTTTACTTGTGTATATTTCAAAACTAAAGATCCTGATCAAGATAACCTAAGTTTATTAATAAATTTTCAATATTTTTTTAGTAGGCTCTGAGTAACCAAAAGTGGATTGTGTGCAATTTACTCTATGATGAATGGAGTTGCACTACTCTGTATTTTTATAAAGATGTGTTATTCAATAAGAAAAAATTCTCTTTACTGCAGAATGTTCTTAAATGAGTCCAGTTCTACTCATGTATTAAATTGCGCGAATTGAACAATCTTAAAACATTGCTTAGAACTAAACTTGTTTTACAATCTTGACTGCAAATATACCACAGAAGTATGGTAACGCTTTTGAAAGACTAGTTGTTCTTAAGTTTAAAAGAAATCATTCAGTAGTGCTTAATAAAATAAACAAAAAAACCCCCAATAACCCATCAAAATACGGTACTGAAATCATTCAGTTTCTGTTGGAAAACAAGGTAAACATGGTATAATTGGATTTCTGTTCTTGGAAACATTCAGAAACATAGTCTTCATAAAAGAGGTTTATATCTTAGATGTCTTTTGAAATGAACAGTTAAAAACAAGTTTTAATTTTATTCTTTGGCTATACCTAATAAATGAGTCACTGATATCAATTCACAATAAATTTATTTTACATAAAAGAAAAAGCTTGCCATTAATGAAAAATTCAGTAGAAAACAGTTCTGCTTTAAGTTGGGGCTCAAAAGTAGAAGCTGCTTATTAGTGAAACCTCAGTAGAAAGAGAATTTTGTAAGAAAACATTCTTGGCACAAAAGCTCTAACACAAATTCTGTAATGAAATAGTTACCATGCAAGTTTATTGGCAGAAAGTTGGTTTCTGATGGCTGGTATTCTCTTTTCAGTCTTTTAAGACATTAACATGGAAGATACTAAACCTGTTTTATTTAGAGTTAATTGTATATAAATATGGTGTCATGATGGATAACCTTTCCACAGTCCACCTACTTAATTGAGCAGCTCTAAGTAGGTTATTGGCACCCTGCCCTTCTGATTCCCCCTTTCCCCCATCAGCCAGTCTGAATCCATCCCGGCAACACTGAACACAGTGATCACCTACAAAGTAAAAATATTTCCAGTTACTATGTTAAAACATAAACATATAGAAAACTAATCTGATTTGTATTTAACTATTCACTATCAAAGGACTTTAAACATTACCATCAATTTTGCTGAAAGTTAAAGGATTTTCTTCAGAGGCAGTTTTAGAAATCTTTCACTTATTTATTGGTTAAAAGCTTTAAATATTTGTGTCACTCTATTTTGTTAAGGAATAGTCGTTAAAAGTCCATAAAATGTTATTATAACCATCTGAAGTCTATGAAAGCATTCATGATAAACTATTCCCAGTAAATAACAAGGAATTTGCATTTTGTCATAATACTAGAAGATATGTCAATCTACGATACGATTTTCTTCTTATACCCACATTACTCACCTCATCTGCCAGAAGTGATAGTTCACTACTGTTTGCAGCATCATAATCATACAGAACCCTGGCCTTCCTGCTGCCACTGCCCTCCTTAAGGTCAATAAGGTTGGAAGGAGAGGTCATTACTAGGCCACTTGTTGAAGTCAAGGCAGAAGACCCAATCACATTTGATGAAGCAGATGGTACAGGTGCCACAGGAGTCTGATTGTTGTTACAATGATAATTGGAAGGGAAACTGTTGAAAAGAAAATGGCTAATTACTTATTTCCAAGTGACCAAAGCTCCTGAATATCACCACTTGATGGCAGTATTTACTTTCCACCAACCTCCACTGTGGATACAGATTTATGGATGTTAATATTTTAATGACAGAGTGTGCCGTCTGGCTTACCCTTGTTGCAGTCATTCTCGACTCCCCTAACCCTCATACACATGAACTCTGTCAACAAATCCTGCCGGCTCTACTTATTTTAAAATACACAGCCAAGGTTTGACCACTTCTACCACAGTGACCACAATCACAGACCCACGCCACCATCATCTCTTGAGTGACTAAATCATACCATAGGTTCCAAACAGGTCTGTCAGCTTCTACCCTGCCCTCTAACATCTACCCCTAACACAGCAGCAAGAATGATCCTGCAAGAGGTTAAAACCAAATCATGTCACTCCTTAGGTCAAAACCCTCCAAAGGATCCTGATCTCTGAGTAAAGGCCAAAGTCCAAACAGTGGCTTCCAAATCCCTATGAGTTTCAGCTCCGTATCCTCAATTCATCTCCAGATGAGCCCTCATTGCTGTTGCTTGAACGTACCAGCTATATTCCTGCTTTAGGGTTTTTGTACTTGCTGCTCTCCTCCTGGACCAACATCTTCTCTCTGATGTCTGTACACTTCATTTTCTTACAGCCTCTAAGCCTATCTTCCCTGACTACTACGAACCTCTACCCCTAACCAAGGTACTCCCTTGCTGTATTTTTCTCTATAGCATTTATCATCTTCTAATATATAATACACACATATACTGATTTTCTACTCCCCTCTACCCCCAAATAAAATGTAGGTTCCATGGAGGTAGGAATTTAGTCTGTTTCATTTACATTGTATCCTTTATGCTTAGAATAATGCACTTTTTTAAAATTAAAAGCAAATGTTCCTCTGATAGATAAAAGGGTTCTAACAATAAAAAGAATGAATTTCTAATTCAGCTTTCACTCTAAAGTTAAGAACACATTTCCCAGCATCCCTTCCTCAGTGAACTCAGTCCTCATCAGTGATTAAATATACCCATTTCTGAAGATTGAAAAGAAGAGCCTTCTCTCCCACAAAAGGGGTTTTTAAACTCTCTAACCAAATTTATTAGTATCTTTAGCCTTTGTGTAGCCACTAAGGTCTACCTATGTCAATTCTGGGGAATTAATGGTAAAAACCAAAAACAAACACCAGCCAACTAACTAAACAAAAAGCCTGAAAGGCCATTTTAACCTTCTAAGGAATTTTACTGAAACACTGAAAAAATTAAAGATTTCCTGGTGTAACTTGATATGTTAAAAACTCCCAATTATTTAAAAATATACATTTACTATTCTTTTGACTTGTGTTTGTTTTCTCCTCCGTAAAATGTGGATAATACTAATATGTACCTCACTGGTGTGAAGATTATGACATTATTACATAGGAGGCGTCCAAAACCCCCCTAAGCGATTGCTGTTACTCAGTTACTACCAACAACACTGCCATTAGAGTCATTAGCATGACAACCTGGTTCAGAAATAGCTCTTGAATTGGTTAGTGTGGATGTGGATGATTTCCAAGTTCTGCATTTGAGTATTTCTATATATTGTCTAAAAAGCATAACCTGCAACAAATTAAAAGCCTAAAATTTCTCCTATTCTATCACTGGTCATTACCAGGAATATAATTCTTTGAGGGCAAAGAGACAAGCTAGACATTATTTCCTAGAGTAATAGTACTAGTTTCACTTTGTAATGTTTGAGCTTATCCTAAAGTGCAGCAATAACTAGATTTTGTTTGAATGGCTGAATTCCAAGCATTTGTGTAGCTTTAAGTACAGAAAGCAAGTATGAATGATAACAATAGCAACCCCTTTGCTCTACTCCCAGGGTATTAGGACAAAGTGAAAAGGAAGTACTAAAGCATCTTGGGCTTAAAATAGTTGTGATAATGTGGAGAACAAAGTGGTATTCTGCCTTCAGATATTAATACCGCTAACAAAACTTCAAATACAATAGAACGGTAAATCCTTCTCTAAATCCTATTAGAATAACTAATGGTATTAGACTACAACTCATATTTAAGATCTCAAATTGATTTTATAAATGTGCCTGATTTTGTTCTAGGTCTAGTTTTGAAAGATTAATATGCAGGAAGGAACACCGAAGTTATAAGGGCATTTTTTGCTTTATTCCTTGAAATAACTTCTCTTGATACACCTCCTTCAAACATTACACATCATTCCCCTGCTTTCATAGTTCCTCACTATATAAATTTTGAACTCTTTACATTACCTAGTTTAAAGGGCATTCATGACATGGCCCTGCTTCACTCTTTTAGCCTTATCCCATTCTTAACTTGAATATTATGCTTCAACCAGAATAAACTACTGTTAGTTCCCTGAACTTGCCATACTCTCATTCCTCTGCTCCTTTTATACACATACAGTTTTGAATATGTGAAAGTTTATTCTTGTATTATTAACTAACTATTATGTTCCATATGAACTGTAAACCTACTTTTGCTCCACCCTGTATTCTTCTTTTGCCTGGATTATATGAGGGGGGACCCAAAAAAACCTGGAATTATCTTTTGGAGGGCTGGCCCCCTGAGGTACAGGCTCCCACCGTTAGGTGAGTGTTCTAGGAACCCATCTGTTATCAGTGTACCAGCTGGTGTTGTTCTGAGAAGCTGTTTGAAGACTTCATGCATTTGCCCATTTCATGGTGGCTGACTTACGAGTGTACCGGCTCTTACCATGCTGAGTGTTTAGCAGTTTTTGACCAAAAATGGCATGACCCCTGTACCCCACCCTCCACTCACCCCGACTGCCTTTTTTTTCGGTTTGTTTCCCCAGATGAAACAAGTCCTGAAAAAGAAACGCTTTGCTTATGTGGAAGAGGTGAAACAAAAGATGGCAGAAGCACTAAAAGGCATCAAAATCAACGAGTTCAAAAACTGTTTTGAGATATGGAAAAAAAAAAATCTTGATAGGTGTATTGCATCAAATGGAGAGTACTTTGAAAGTGACTGAAGTTTAAACATGTAAGAATAAACACACAATTTTAAATAAATTCCAGTTGTTTTGGGTCTCCCCTTGCACATCCTTGCCCTTTTACTCATCTAGGCTGTTTCTACTAAAATAATTTTGTCTGAGAAATTTTGCTGGAACCACCTGAGTCACAGTTAGATGTCCCTCACTGTAACCTGCACTTTTTCCTTGCCAACTTATCATATGGCCTGCCCACCCATGTCCTGTGTTATGAGAGCAGACTGTGTTTGTCCTATACATCATTTTATTTCCAGTGTCAGCTTACAATACAAGGAGCTGCATACAGGAAATAAGCAATTTTGACAGGTTTTCTTTGCCAAGTTTTGCTGATATAGAATAATTCAATAATATTTGAACTTTAAATATTGAGTAACTATTTGGCAGGTGTTCAGTAAATACTTGAATGAATGAGCTGTATGCTTTATATTCTATCACTTGTGTTAATATATATTATTACACTCTAAATAATAACATCGATGGGCCTGCAGTCTTACATAATATTCTAAAACTCTTTTTTTAAAAAACAGTGAACAAGTACATAATGAGTAAGTACAAATTTGTTAATCTCTAGGGGCAACTATGAGTTGATTTACTTTATCTTCCTCAACAAACTGCAAAGATATTCAAAAGTCAACTTCAAACACTTTTAAAGCTTTCTTTATGTAGCACTAAAAAGGTATTCACTTAAATTATCTTCTCATCCCCGTTAACATTCTTTTGTGCCAGGAGATTTCAAAATGTTTTTGTAACCTCAGAGGTCTGATATTTACTTTCCTTTTAAAAAAATCTGATTTTAAGCAAGCTAATAAAAGCCTTTACTTTTTCTAATCTTCACTTCTATTATTAGGTTATATGCAAAAATCTGAATTTCTTCTCTTATCAGGAATTCCATGTGTGAAAAGGAAATCACCACCTTCCCAGTTGTTTCTGGAGGTCTAACATGTACTGGTAACACTGTGCATAGTAAGTCATCTGGGCTTCTACGAAGTCATTCAGACAGCGGAGGTGATGGGCCTGTAAAGAAGATACAGTCACTTTTTAGCTCTATAATCTATTCAAAGTGGTAAATCATAAGGGGAAACAGAATACAACATTGCACTCAAGGAGAATCACTAGTATTTAACAATTTACTAACTACTACGCTTATTAAGACTGACCTTGGTTAACTGTGTAACAACAAACTGGCCAAAAAAAAACCAACAACTGGTTGATTATGGTGAGAGAACTAGGTGATGAGGTGTAAACAAAAACTGAAATGTTTCTTCATATATCATAAAAAGTGCCAGAGTTTATATTACTCTGATTAAATGACTAAAAAGGAAATTCAGGTTTTCTTCCCCAAAATGACTTAGGACTACCAAAGTCTTTTGTTCCAAATGAATTTCCAAAAAAAAAAAAAAATGAATACTCACGTGTGTACTGCTGATTCCCTCTAGCAGAAGTCTGGTAATCTCTGCCTGACGATCAAATTCACTTTGAGTTATTCTTAATTCCTGTTCAGACTTAAATTGGAACGTAGTTTTAGAACCGCATTAAGAGGACTTAGTCCATTTTACATACATTTATGAAGACTGTTAAAAAAAATCCCCCAAATAAATCCCAAATGATAATCTGGCAATTCCCTGATTGTGTTTTATACCTAAACTGGTCCCTGGTTTCTAGACCTTAGTTTTTCTATATTACTCAACCTAGGCAGAACTGATTCCTTACCAATACTTGACTCAAAAGACTATATTAATGCCAAAGCTTAATGACATACACATAAAAACCTAGAAAACCACTGTGAGACAATCAATATATTTCAAAAAATTCTCAATTATTACTATATTTACTTTACTTTGAAGTTAAAGATAGCCTTTAATTTCAAAGAACTACTTCAGGCTGAAATCATATGACTAACTTTTTGTGTTTTGTTATAAAACATATTTGTTTCTAGAAATACAGTTTTTGGGTTCCTTCAAAGCATTCTTTTTCCTACATAAATGTCTTTCTTTCTAGTTTTCGCTCCAAACTTTGCATGAAATATGTTTTATGCAGAAATATTATCCATAAGATATGCTAGGGTTTTTCTGCCAAGTTTTAGGTGACCTTTAATCAGTGGTGTGCTTAAGTAAACTGGCTTTCTAGGAAAAACATGGTTGAAGCTAGTAGTGTTTCTTACAAACACTAATGTGTTGGTTTTCATGGTATAAATACTCCTACCAAGGTAAAGTCACTAAAATCAAAGCTGGAAAGAGTTGTGTGTGTAATAGTATACCACTACTAGCTTCAACCATTAATAAATGTTTAGTGCTGGGACAAAAGAGTTCACTACAAAATCAACATGATATAAAAACAGTAAATACTCCCAAAAACTACCTTCTCAGACCATTAGCTAGAGTTGGTTGGTCACCAACTCTAAAATAAGTGAGGAGGTCACTCAAAATAGTTTGCTTTCTCTCACTGGGAATCACCATGGCTAATGTCATTAAAATGATATTTTCTACCTCTCCAGAAGAAATAGCTCCTCACTCCCAACCAAATAATTACAATATTTAAGTATAAAAACAAGGACTGAACTTTTTCCTTTCACACCCCATCTTCTTCTCCTTCACCCCTGGTGACAATAATTAACTTAGTGAACCAGTTGACAGGCAATCGCAGCAAATTAGATAATCAGTCGCTATAATTACCCATATCATTGGCAACAGACCTGGCAGAGGGGATTAAGAATTGACCGCTAGATTGGATTTATAGAAATAAACTTACTCAGTAAGTGTTGAAATTAAATTTACTCCACTAAAACCAGAATGAATACATGATGCTTTGATAATTGTGCTGAAGTAAGCTTCATTTGGAAGCTAGTAAGAAGTGGAAAAAAGTTCCAGCAGAGAAGAATCAATGATTTTCCTAAGAAAAATGTTATGGAAAACCAATCACTTCAGTATTACATTTGTACTATTTACTGTCTGCTTACTTGAATGCAAAAGAATTTTGACTAACAGAAGTAGCCATAAGAAACCCACAGGAAGTAAATGAGGAGAGTTCCATGTAGATCTTTGACTGGGCAAGTACAACTTGATTTTAATAGCCTTTACTGGAAATGGCAGAAAAGCTTACTAAACGGCAATATTTCTGTACAAAGTATAAGCAAGGATGCTGGATAGCAGATTAAAAGTGACCCAGAAGCTTGAGTCTGGAGTGGAAATAATGTTTTAAAGCTAAAATACTATATATAAAACGATCTTAAGGACAAGAGCTCAGTCTTCCATGTTTGAGCAAAATTTAATTATTTAATTGTGAAGAAATGCACAATGTTACAAAGCTTGGGAAGTCATTCTTTTGTAGCATCTAGACTTTACATTTAGAAAAGGTAAATGACAGGAAGGAAAAGAATCTCATTTCTTTTTTAAACAAGTTTCAGTGTATGACTTGGGTGGCTGCAAACAGATCAAAGTCCCAAACCATTTCTACTTCAACACATATAATTCATCATAAATAATTAATCTGAGAGGCTGAGGTTAAATGAAATTAGGTTTGGTGTAATCAATTTACTGAGAAAGAAAATGATCTATATTAGGTGAAAAGGGTTTAAAGAAAGAAAATAAATTTAAAGGGTTTTTATTCTGTCCTCCAAAAGATCTCATTCTCTATCTTAAATTCTACAATTAAGGTGTAGAGTTCTAGAGAAAAGACCTAATGTTTAGAATTACTGCTACTGGTCTGATTGGGAATATATGATACCATAGCTTGCATTAAAGAAAGCAAGAAGAGTTCTTTTAAGAGGTAAATTGGAAAAAGGGCAAGAATTTGTTGGTCTGTGGTATCAGCTAGAAATTTAGGTCATACATTTGTTGTGACAAACTTGGTCAATGTTTCTTACTTTTTCCTATGGGCTTACATCTTGAAATATTCCAGAAATATAAATTTTTAAACATTTTAAAATTATAATGAAAGTGAGATTTACAGAAGAAAACTGCCCAAATTAATATTGACATATTTTCTTAAGTTCCTTTCATATATACATAAGTAATATAAATACTTGTTTCATGAATTTCTTCCCATTATATCAACTATTTCCCAAACTTGTAGACTGCAGAATCAAATCAGAATTTTTTGGGTATACCTGCACGCAAAGTGGAAGAGACCCTAGTTTTCTTGTTTAATCTATTTTCTCATCCATATTACTACTCTGCCTTCTTTTCATGCTAGATGTTCAGGAAGAAATCAGAGTCCAGGGTGAAACTATAACTAAATTGATGACTAGATTCCACAAAGGGGGAGGAGTGCATAAGTCAAGAATTTCACATTGGATTTCCAAGTCATAGAATCAACAGCTCTATAACCTATGCACGGAATATACTGTATAGTCAGTGATCCTACAAAGTGGAGAAAATAGAAAATTAAAGTGTATAAAACTATTAATAGTCAGGAGCCACAATTACCACCTGCCCTGAATCCACAGCATTGTCCTTATCTGAGGTCAGATTTTGGTAGGCCTGAACATAAAAAGAAACGAAAAATGCTTCACAAGACTTCCAATGGCATTCGAAAAACATGTGCACTAAAGTCATAATTTATTTATTAAATTCTTGCTTAGGTATTTGATTTCCCAGTACAGAAAGATTAGAAATGGTAACACAGGCTAGGAGGAGGCATACAGTCAGCTTCTAAGAGTGACTATTTGGGAGCAGTGTACTTCCAGTCAAGATGGCGGAATAGGTAAACGGCTCGCCTTCTTGCACAACCACATCAAAATTACAACTAAAATATAAACAACCATCTCTTAGAACCATCAGAAATTGAGTTTAATGGAAGTTAAATGAGTTTAATTCTGACAATTACAGAATTAAAGAAACCACATTCATCCAGACTGGTAGGAGGGGCAGAGATGTGGAATAGGGTGGGTGGATAAAAATTCGAGAGGAGTATCTCAGGAGCGAGGAATGCCAGCCCTGCACCAGGCTCACCAGCCCAGGGTTCCAGTGCCAGGAACAGAGGCCCCTATAACTTCTGGCTGCAAAAACCAGGGGGGATTAAATTGGTGGAAAAAATTTCTGGAGTCCCAAGCAGTTCCCCTTAAAGAACCCACACAGAGACTTACTCAGACTTGCTCCCCCTGAGCTCCAGCACTGGGGGCAGCAGCTTCAAATGCACCAATGGCATACAGGGAAGAACTGAAGTGTCGGGCATCAAGGCAGGAGCTGGGGGGCAGCTTTCTCCCAGACGGAAAGGTGGGCAGAGGCCACTGTCCATTTCCTGAATCCACCCCCCACGAAGTCTACAATTCTTAAATTCAGAGCCAGAAAGCGGGAGCCATCCATCAACCTGGCTAACACTGTTTGCCAGGCCCCAGAGATCCCCTGAGACTCTGGCCCACCCAAACTGTTAACCATGATATTTCTGTATGAATGGCTTGTCTTTGCTGCTGACGCTTCACAACTTCCTATACTTATCAAACAAGCAACAGACGGCTCAGAATACCCCGATTTCCCACACCTCTTGCTAAGTGGCCCCAGGCCTGGCACTAGGAGCAGACAGCCTAGATTCATAGCTTAGCTTTGCCTGGGACTCTCCAAGCCCAGCATAAGTATCAGACATGTCAGCTTGCTTTCTAGCTCAGGTAGAGTGGCCCTGGGCAGAACACAGGTGGGGGCTGACCTGGGCCGGCACCAGCCAGGAAACCAGAGCCTTTGCCCCCAGTAACTAAAGACCATGTTGGAGCACCACCCTGCCCCTACACAGTTCATCCTCTACAGAGGGCAGTGAATGGTGGTCAGTGGTCACAGCCAGTCCTTGCAGCTGATTGGCCTAAGTAAATCCCTCCCATTGATCTGCCAACAGCAATCAAGGCTCAACTACAAGAGGAGGGTGTATTCAGCCCAAACAAAGGGCACACCTCGAGTACTCAGCTTGGGTGATAGGGGAGGCTGTGCCACTGGGCCCTACAGGACATCTACTACATTAGGTTATGCTAGCAAGACAGGGAGTCAGAGCAGCTCTATATGATACATAGAAACAAACACAGGGAGGCTGCCAAATGAGGAGACAAAGAAACATGGCCTAAATGAAAAAGTTGATCAAAACATTAGAAAAAGAACTAAATAAAATGGAGATAAGCAATCTATCAGATGCAGGGTTCAAAACACTGGTTATAGGATGCTCAAGGAACTTAGGGAGGACCTTCACAGCATAAAACAGATCCAGTCAGAAACAAAGGACACACTAATTGAAATAAAAAATAATTTACAGGGAAACAGCAGTAGAGTGGATGAAGCTGAGAACCAAATCAATGATTTGGAACATAATGAAGCAAAAAACAATCAGTACAAGAAGAAGAAGAAAGAATCCAAAAAAAATGAGGACAGTATAAGTAGCCTCTGGGACAATTCAAGTGTTCCAAAATTCACATCACAGGGGTACCCAAAGGAGAGGAGAAAGGGCAAGAAATTGGAAATCTATTTGAAAAAATAATGAAAGAAAACTTCCCTAATTTGGTGAAGGAAATAGACATGCAAGTTCA